GTCTGGTGAACTAGTCCCTGTGGCCCTCCTCTAGAAGCTGACCATGCAATCCACCGAGGGGATTGGACAGATCTACAGAAGGGGAGTGGCACCCTTGGGAGGTGAGGTTATGCAGATGAAGCGCCCGGCCCGGACGTAGCAATTGGTCAGTTTTGTCATCCCTCTATGTTAAAAGGCGCCATCCCCGGAGATGGGAAGGGAGATCCCACTACCATAGAGGAAGAAGAGCAAGGTGTCCTTTGGATCTCCTGGATCCTGGGGGGCCGAGAGTTGTGACCCCGCAGTCAGCGAGCAGGAAGCAGCGGGGGACAGGACGGAGAGCAGTCTGAGTGGCCAGTTTCCCAACCCATGGAGATGGAACGGGCACGCCGGGCGGCTGTGGGCAGGAGGGTGGCTGGAGTGGGGTGTCTGCAGGCACTGGCTGGGGAAGCTTGTTTGCCAGTGAGGAGGAGCGGGGGCGCCTTCAGCCCCAGGCTTACTGGCACAGAGGAGTGACGTGGGGCATCTACCGGCAGAGCCCTGATCATCTGGTAGCACTTGCCTGAGAAGGACAGAGGCCATGGAGCTGCCCGGCTGTGGGCCTGAGGGTCTGGGTGTGTCTCTGGCCACTGCTGAGATCTGAAACTTCTGGTCTCTCCCCCAGATCTCCTGGGGGGTGTATGGTTTCTTGCTAATAAACCAGAGGCGGGGGATGGGGCGGTGGTGGTTGTGGAGTCTAACTCTCTACTTGCATCCACGCTGCAACTGGATCTGACTGTAACCCGTCAAGGGCGGACTGCACTAGCTGGTCGCAGATCTCCCATCCATTCTGAGGGGCCCTTCTGGTACACCCACGGCTGGGTCCCCAGCCACCTGGAGGGCCAGGGATGCTCTGCCAGGCTGAAAACACCAGGGGGAGCCCTCCTGCACCTCGTAGGAAGCAGCTGGGGGGCCCCAGTCCCAGAGGACTCGCCAAAGGGAGGGGGCCTGAATATGCTGTCCACTGTAAGCTCCTTTTTAACTGGATCGGTGTGGAAATCTGGGTACAGGTTATGGATGCCGTTTCCCAGGCCCATCGACTCCCAGCGGCCCTAGAGGACAGGGTAGAACTACCCTGGCAGGTTTCAGAGACTGTCACTCTGGGCGGGAGTAGAAAGCCCGGTCTTTCTCCCGAGGAGCATGCAGCCTGATGCGTAACCACTGTGCCACCAGGCTCCTTCCCCGATCATGTCAGCATTATCATAAATCACCAGCCATCACTCGTGTTCATGAGCGCGACATCAAATTATCACCCACGTCAATGCTGTGTGAAATACATCCTGAATGGCACCCCGGGAGCTCTGGGGGCACAGTGGTTCCACATCAGGCTGCGAGCCTCAAGGTCAGCGGTTTGAAACCAGGAGCCGCTCCTTGAGCGGAAGATGAGGCTTTCTACTCCCATAAAGAGTTAGAGTCTCCAAAACCCCCGGGGGCAGTTCCACTCAGTCCTACAGGGTGGCCGTGAGTCAGCGTGGCCTCCGTGAGAGTTGAGTTTGGTTTTTTGGAGCATGGGCGATCATTTACGATGGCTCTCACCTAGCAGTGACCAAGAGAAAGGCCCCCAATGAGGTGGACGGACACCATGGGCCCAAACAGAAGAACGGTGGGGAGATCGGCGCAGGGCCAGGCAGGTGTTTCTTGCTGGTAGCAGAGGGGTCCTCCTGGGTGAGACCCACCTTGATGGAAATATCGCCATCCAGCACTTCTGGGCCCTCTGGCTAAGAGCACAGGTGGCACGGATGGCGCAGAGCCAGGCGGCACGCTTCGTGCGGTCAGACAGTCGCCAGGAGTGGGAGCCCCCGCGGGGGCACCTGACCACGACAGCCCCGCTGCATTGCAGCACGTTTCCATTCGCGTGTCCAGCGAGCTGCGTATTACGCTCGCCTCTCTCGTGGGTCTCACGGGACACGCGGGGACACAATGAGCTGGCCGGCACGCAAAGGGCATGCAAAACCCAGCAAAGAACACGTTTGCTTCTGGACATCAAGTGTGTTTCTAAAGCGGTCTTCCCAGGAAGCCATGAAGGGCGTTGGTGAGAGCATCGCATTACGTCATCTCCGAGCTCAGATCCCTCAGAAATCTCTCCAGGGAAGTCTTGGGGTGGGGGTGGGGGCACGGGGATGAAACCTTTATTCAAAAAGCAAAACCCAGACACACTGCCCTGCAGCCGAGCCGACGCTGACTCACAGCGACCCTCTAAGGCAGGGCGGAGCTGCCCCTGTGCGTTTCCAAGACCGGAGCTCTTGAACACTGGCAGAAAGCCCCGTCTTTCTCCCTCCGAGCGGCTGGTGGTTTCGAACTGCTGACCTTGCAGATCGCAGTCTAGGGCCTAACCATGATGCCACCAGGGCTCCTTAAAACCTGATAGAGATGCATTTTGTTTCCCATTTCCCGTCACGCGGACCTTCTTTGAGGAATGTGACTGTCTAACTGGGGAGGTGTTGATAACGTTTACAAAGACCTGTTTTGGCTTTCCCCTGACCCAGACCAGCTCCTAAGCTTGTGTCCTGCTCAGCTGGACACTCCACCCCCCACCCAGAAAGGCTCCAGGAGCCCAGTGGGCAGGGCTGGCACAGGCAGGCTGACTGCTGGGGGCGGAGGAAAGAGTCTGCAGAACTCTCCCTGTCTCAGTGCTCACAACCCACAGGCTGAGAACCGCTGTCCTAAGAGAACTCCGAAAGGCTGGGGTGCTGAGGTCTCCCCCACGATTGACAGTGAGAATGGGCAGCAGTTAAACCCTCAGCCTCCCACCCACAGTGGCTGGGTGGCCCTCTCACCTTCCCTGTCAGCGCGAACCCCAGACTCTCTCTCTGCAAACACAGCTGCACGGAGGGGCCAGGCCAGACAGTCCAGCCAACATTGGGGGCCAGCGGTCTGGGCCCGA